TGCGTATCTGAGCACATTTTTCTTTGAGTGAAGAATAATTTACCCTCGAAAGTTCTAATAAACAGAGCTTGCTACACTTTACAATTTATTTTTTCTCTGATAATTACCGTAGGAATCAATTTACTATCACATGGTTTATATTTTAGAGAACCGGACGTTTTATCGATTTCCAGAACTCTGCCCGACTTCGTACCCCAAAGTGAATTATTAACGTACATATGCAATGCTTCATCTAAATGGGTCAAAAATATCTTGCCATTTGGGAAGGTTTATGGGTTTTTACAGAAATGACTACAACCGAATAGTCAATTTCGGTTTTGAACATGTGAAACATAACTTTTCTTGCGGTCTAGTTTCAACACATATCTAGGGTTCGAGCGAGCGAAACGCTAACAAATTCAGCAAAATAACAATATTTCAATGACTACTCTCTCGCGCATTCATAATCATGGACCTGGGCCTCAAAAGTAGCAGAGATTGTGAAAATGGACGCAATTAAACGAGGAAAGCATGTTCTAACCTTTACGCTAGAAAAATATCGATATTTTTAGCATCGTGAAAGAATTGGTCAAAAGGGTCAGCATTTTTCTGGACTTTACCATCTAAAAAATTAAGTTCACAGACATCCGTCAACGGAATGCAGTATTAAAGTACTCCATAAAAAGGTAAAGTATAACAGAAGGTTTTTTTAGTCGACTCAAAGCACGCTTGTTGATGAGTTTGGTTGTAGGCGTTCAGTTTTTCCGACAATGAGTTTTTATTTTTGGGTGGGTCTTCACATGTGACCCGAATGACCATCTACATAAACAGGGACTCCAAAAACACTCGCTACTTCGGTACATGCCTTCAAGAACTTTTTTGCAGGTTTTGATTAACGCACGATATAGAATCTGCTTTTATAGGCACTCGATTAAAAACATTGAAAATCATAAAGTACTCGGCGAAATTTCAGAAGCGATTTGAAACTGAACGTATTTCAGAACAAAGAAAGTGTTGTAACAGATTTTACCGAAGAGGATTTCTGTTTAGTATGCTCACGAGTAAATCTGTCAAATCTACTTAAAATTGCTGGTCACTGACAGACCTGTGAAAACATATTCTATGTTTTCCCTATCGGCGAAGTCAAGCTAACTCCTGTTTGCTTTATTTGACCGCATCTGAACCATTAAAAAAGCGTAAAAAATCGACGATATATCAGGAGACCGTTTTAGAATGTACACTCAGAATGTATACTGTTGGATAATCGTGATACCTGAAATTACACCAATTCCTAAGGGGTATTTACAGTAGGTGGGTTTACTTATGAAATGTCAAACGAAATTCCAAAATCCGTTTTCGTTTTGAAAAGATTAAGTAAGTAGGGTTATAAAACTAATCATTATGAAGCATAATTCTATAATGAGCCAGTCACCTCAGGGTGTGGGTTTTTGAATGAACATCTTTCCTGATGAAAAAAAACCATACTCTGTACAAAATAACTAAATAAGTAGTATGCACTTTTTTCATTGATTTTTGATGCCCCTAAAAGTCCAATTATATTTTATGGAAAAGATGAATAAAAATATTCATTCTTTTGCGCATTCGGTAGACAATTACGTCTTCTACCAATTTTATGCCCGAAGGAATGGTATTATTCGGTTTTCAGAAGCTTTTCCAATTCCCGAATAATTTTGAACCAGCCCTGCCGTCACACTTCCACTCAGGGTTTTCAAACTACAAGCCATGAATTTTCCGCCTAAGGAAAACCATACATTCCTCTACGGTATTGAGAGGAGACTATATGGAGTTCATAATGTTGAGCATTGGATTTGATCCATATTGTATACTTTACAATCGACATTGGTAAATTAAAAACATGACGTTTTATGGACGGCCATTTCAATGTTATTCAAAAGTATCACGATTAAAAACGTTTTAAAACCAAATCCTGTCCCTCCTACGAGTATAAAATTATAATAAGACGTAATTATCTACCGAATGAGCGGAAAAAATGAATATTTTTATTCATCTTTTCCATGAAATATAATTGGACATTTAGGAGCATCGAAAATCAATGAGAAAAATGTATGCTAAATAGGTAGTCATTTTTTACAGGGTATAATTTTTATATGCAGCCGGAAGGAAGTTCTTTCGAAAGCAAGCATCCTGAGCTAACTGAAAAATTATAGAATTATGCTGTAGGCTGATTAGTTTTACAATGCTACTTAATTAATCTTTTCGAAACGAAAACGCATTTCAGCATTTCGGTTGACATTTCATGATTTAGCCCACCTACTGTAGATGCAAACTTCACTAAAAAATTATTATTAAGCATTTTTCTATTTGTATTTACGTATTTTCTTGGTTTTTTGCATGAAGAGGGTTTTGTACACCGAAAACTGAAGATTACTAAATTGTTACTATATTTGACCTCCTGGGGATTTTCTACCTTTCCTACAAAATTAATATTTCTACACAAGGTAATATTACATTTAATATTCCTTTTCTGTTTTAGTTCCCTTAGGGCTGTTATTTATTAACGTAAATATTGAGTCCATGCACTGGTGTTGGTTTGCGAATGATTAGTAATCATTCATAAATTTCGTCAACTTTCATTCGTCAGGTCACTTACTGTTTAAAATAATTAAGCAGTCAATGCGTTTATGTTTCACCCATATAAACGATCATCTGTCGTCATTTAATATTGACGAGGTGGACAGTTAAGGAGATATCAGGATACGTTTTTCAAGACTTTTTCCTAGTTTCCTGTTCAGGAAATATGCGAATACATTACTTCTCTAATTAAGTAGAGATCTTAATTAATAAAAGCATATGCGCAGTACCGTCTGTGTCTGCTTTCGATGAAGCCGGTGACTTCTTCTGCTAACTGCTTTGTTAGACTTCAGTCAGTTTGCCAATTTTTGTCCTCTGATGTACGAATACAATTTCGATTCCGGCGAACTCTGGATTTACGGAGTAATCTGAATTTTATGCTGATTCGCGTTGTCCGCACGCCAACAGTAATGAATTGTCTTAGGCAGTGGGAATGTCGCAATTGCTTATCACGGGGTGTTTGCTCAGCTCTGCAGAACGCAGATTTTCTGTTAAGAGAAGTTTGCTGATCCTCAAGCCTTCAGGTTGATGTTTGACAATCAGTTCTTGATGGGAGCATGACAGTCTCAGCGTCCTCTGCAGAATCCGACTAGTGCATGTGGCCGCCTGAGTGATTTGCCGTAAAATGGCGATTTCCATTTCTGTTTAACGGCAAAGTTAACCAATTGCATGTTCGCTTCCATTTAAGCACAGAATCCGATCTCATCCAGCATCAAGTGAGCTGGGAGTGCAGTGTTGTGACACTGCTTAATGGCAAACTCACTGTAATTGGGGTGCCCAGTGTGTCAGCACATTTGTTTGTATCATAGCTGCTTGATGGCAACAATTCAATCCGAAGCTGTCATTCTACCATCCCCTAGAGTTTTCAGCAACATCTCGAATGTATATATATATATATATCTAAAGAATGGTATTGTCGACAGAGACAACAGAGACTGGAGTGGCCATTTCGGGCATATTAACCATCGTCAGCCGGTTACAATTATCCCCGAAGTGTGGAAGACTTATAGCTTGAACTCGCGACTTGATGGCTAAAACTCCAATGCCTCTAGCCATTGAGCCACGGGCTCATTGCCCTGCCGGTTTAAAAGCGAACATCCCAAGATATTTAATTAGGAAGACGAAATTCTTTGAGAAACTGTAACTTTTGTTGGGAAAACTTTCGAGGCTCGTCTTCAGTCCGTCGTCAAGCTATGGGTTCACAAACCCACACCTCTAAGATGCCCGTTAGGGTTTTTCCTCATCTTCTGAATTTTATGTCCGGAAACAAACTTTGCCTTTTTCAAACAATGCAATCGACAATAAAAAAAAGGCGCACTTACCACTTTTAGGCCGTCGCATCGCGACACAGCAGAAGGAGCACCGATAAACACGAGGAAAATTGGAGCGATACTGTCCGTTCAATCAGTCATTGTCTGTCAGCCATGGAACAACCCCAGGCTGTATAATCCCAGGGTCTAGAACCGGAGTCTCTGATCATTAGACAATAGGTCACGCGTCCTAGGAGACATGCACGGGCTTGCCGCCCCCACAGATGCGATCGGGACTACTGATTCATAACCTGACCCAAGAAATTCGTATGGCATACGCCATTCGTGCTCCGAAATTTTGTTGAGAATAGTCAAAACCAAGGCCACATGAAGATCGAGCCAATACGGCTCACGTATACCGACTGTTGGAAACCTTCAGAGCTAAGATTTCAAACCTTCCCTCATAGGCTGGAGCTCGTCCGTCCAAGTATGTTGATTGTATCATAAACTGCTTCCAATGTGGATCGTCCCCACTGCTGCATTAATCTCCTCGAACACGTCAACGACCTTGGCTACTTTTGCGCTCGTGGGAAAGAAATCGATACACCTGAATGACTCAAGAAACTGTCTTAGTGGTCCTACTCATTTTTAGATGGCCACTTCGGGTACTAGGAAGGCATTTCAAAATAGGTGATCTCCAGCTCTTGCAAAAGGAAATTTACGTCAAAAAGTGATAAAACGACTACTCGTTGAGCTGCTTTTGCAGTAATTTTCCGCTCCAACTATGAACTGATTATAATTATTCAGAAGAGCGGGGTAATTTTGAGGACGGCCCTACTTTGTTCAACATTCTGATGAGCTCTACATTAACCACCGACTGTTATTTAGGCTCAGAGAAACAGACAAATATCACTGCGGGGAAGGGTGCATGAAATTCTTTATTTCTTGCTTCCATTGCTGGGAAATCCGTGGAGACGACTGTAGACGAGACTAAAGGATCACTTACCGGAGGGTTGGAGGGCACTGGCGTTGCAATCGAAAATCAGGTTGGCAACACATGTTGTTTAAAAGTCTTCAAGTTCAGCATCAGCGCAGTCAAGGAAGTCATGGGGAGCAACTGGTGTGAGGAGCCAGACCGTCCTATATCGCATCCGCTCATCAACCACCACCACCACCACCACCACCACCACCACCACCACCACCACCACCATCATCATCATCATCATCATCATCATCATTATCTGAACTTCTAACCAGAGTCAGTCGGTCACAGAGACAGATGATCTGTCCCTTGTGGATCATGCGAGAGGGCACTGGATTATTGGTCTTCCTATTGCAAGTGGCCCTGGGGTACGTTCCAGGGGGTTTAGGGCTAGCTTTAAGGTTATAGCAATAAGGGTTAGGACTATGGCCAGGCTTAGGAAAGTTAAGTTAGATTTAGAATATGGGAATAAGTACATCCCCTGGAATTTAATGTAAAACACCTATAGTACGGGAGGGTCTTTATTCCGTATCTAGTCGAATCATGGTTAAACGTCCTAACGTCTGCGATTCTGAATACTGTAATGATGTTCGCTGGCCCACCTCGGTTACCGATCAGAATACGGCGGCGCTGTCTAGTCTTAGAACCTCGGTGATGGAATACATGACCTGAACGCCCTGTAGCAGGCAGAATCCGCGCCTGAGGTTTGTTAATGTTTCGTTGATTGGGGTAGATGCCCTATAAATATGTTCTAAAGGACCCTCAACTTGGATGATAACAAGGCTTACTTGCAAATTGCCTCATTTCATGCAACCGTCGGCGGGGGCAAATCAAACTCCCGCATACTCCGTCTTGTAGCTAGGACAGATCAATGAGCCCGGGACAGGGGGAGAGAATGGAGAATAGGCATGAAAATAATGAAGTCCAAGTGAAGAAGAAGGATGGCCGAGCACAGGAACATTTTGTTTATTGTTCTGGGCTTTCGGACTCGTGCAAGAGTCCATCGTCAGAGATAGTAACAGCAACAGAACAAGCGACAGTTGTAGGATGTGTAAGCCAATCATTGACCGACGGCGCAAGACTGAAGGTGACTGCGCAAGGCTCTGTACGCCGTCGCCAGATCGATAAATCGATTGACTGAGTCCTCATCCAAAGCCCAGGTCTCAATCCTTTCTCGGTTTGTTTTGTTTCCGTCGTAGGCGACTATTTTAGTGGCTGTAAAGTTAAACTCATGACCCTTTTCTTAAGTCTGGGCGGCCACTTGTGATAATGCGTCGCCTCGTCGCACAGCCAGCTTGTGTTCGTGTATGCGTGATCCAAGCTTGCATCCAGTCTGGCCTGTGCAGTTACAAGGACAGTTTTGGCACGGGATGCGGTGCACTATCCTACATTGTTCCCCAGACTTTAACCGGCCTTTGATTTGCGTTTTAAAGCACAGTCAACTTGCCGCAGAAAATGAAAATACATGAATGTTACAAACTAAGTGAGGGCGTGTAAATATCGGTCTAGCCAGAGTTGTACCCACATTCGCGTCCAGACGGAGTTCCGTTCAAATACGCCTCGATTCATCCCCGTCGTACTGCACTTTTGCGCTCGGCGTTATCTATCACAGTCGCGCCTCCGTCTAGCAGCAAAGGACAGACATTACTATAAAGATTTTGATGGAGTTTTTTAGTACATGTTTATGCAGGACGGGAATAGAATGCCGACACGACTGCGACAGTAAGGTCGCCTGGTCAATTACGCGGAGGTAACTACCGGAGAACGCGCTCAATGCGCCTGTGCGTGACCGGCGGCGACCACGCCCAGCGTGCCACGACGCTTACGATGTTTCGCGTGCGCGAGGAGGTAAAAAAAAACGCACATAAGCACGCGCACACACATACGCACACCGGTAGAAGTAGGTGGTTTTTATCTTTTCACGCAAGGCTAGAAAAGCGGGAATCAGAGGGCGAGGAAGCAGGAGGAGGAGGAGCAGGAGCAGAAGGAGATGAGGTAGGAGGGGGAGGAGTGGGAGCGTGGGCAGCAGCAGCAGCATCAGGAATGAGAAGATGGGAGGAGGGGGAGGAGAAAAAGAAGAAAAACGGGGAAAAGAAGAAGAAGACGGAGGAAAAGAGGAATGTGAGGAGGAGAAAGAGTAGTAGCGGAAGCAGGAGGGAGAGGATAGATAGGGGATAGGGACGGAGGAGAAGGATTAGGAGAGGGAAGTGTGCGCCTAGATCTTCAACAATATGAGCCAGTGCGGCTCAGCGATGGTATCAGTTGATCGCTGTTACGCCGATAAAACAGAGCGGGCGTCTCACGGGTTCTGTTGGAAGCGCGTCATGGAACTAGATCAGTGTAAGAGGGCTGAAGGCAGGATGAATTCGATTAAAACAGGTGCCTGTCGGTTGCAACGTGTCATCGTAACGTGGTCATGATTAGGAACCTTTTAAAGCCAGAAGACAGTCTGTAAAGGGCACGTCCAAAATCGAGAAAATCCTCTTTAATAAAGCAGGGAAAGGGAAAGAGAAGATACGCGACAAGAGGGCAGATTCAAGCATCCATGAGTCGCTAAATGTAAAGCTGAACAATATGGTAGGAAGGCAAACACCGAACATATATTTTGTCCTAATTCGGTGGATCCACACATTTTTTCCAGTTCTTTTAGCCGAAAAAGAGGTAATTTGCGGTGTTAAAAAAGCTTCTGGTTATTTTTAAGAAACGCAAAATGTCTAGGCATAAAGCATCGTATCTGCCTATTCAGTAATGCTGCTTGGAAAGTATACAAAGCGGAAGATGAAGATGCAATCACTGGAGCAAGAAGCTTATTTGCCTGACGTTTCGGATTCTCCCCCGAATCCATCATCAGAGACATTCGCAGATAAAGGTGATGGTGGCACCAGGCGTGCAGTATTTATAGCACGTGGCTGCCTTCGGACCGTATGCGCATTGTAATTAACAGCTCTGGCAATCACCGCTGGGGTCGTAATTGATGCGGTGGTGGATTGTCGGTCCGAGTCCGAGTCGTTAATTACCGCGATTTCGTCATCCGTGTTGGATGCTGGTGTGGCAATCGCTCGGCAAATTGGCTCATTGTCATTGAGATTATTACTCACCCGCGTCCTCCCCACATGACTGATTCGCCTGCCCTGGGAAAACCTGAGCACAGAATACGGTAAGGCGAGGTCATTACGCCTGTTGATAGATTGCGGGCCTGAGAACCATGACTCGAGCAGCTCGCGGATAACGTGGTTGTCACCCCTTGCATGGATTTTGGCCTCTTTAAATTTGAAAATATGGACGGGTCCCGTCTACTGAATCGCCACCTGAGAGCTAGCGTCCCCCGCTTCACTACTGCTGCGTGCTCGGCAATTCGAGTACTGAGTAATCTCCCAGTTTCTCCGACGTAGTTGCTTTGTCCGCAACCGCACCAGATCCGGTAAACGACGCCTGACTTTTCCTGCCATGGAGTGGGTCTTTTGGTCTCATGACGTGACGCCTAATGCTTGCTTCTGGCCTGTGTGCAACCCCAAATCCAAGTGGAGTGAGAAGACGACTGACGGCTTTCGAGACTTTCCCCAGGTGCAGAAGAGCCCGCCAAAATTTGGTGCCGGTTGGAGTTGGTCTGTGGTGTCGTTTTCGTATGCACTGGTTGACAAAGTTGCGCGGGTAACCATTGGCTCTCATTACCCGTCGAAGATATTGTAATTCAGCAACCTTGTCTTCCATTTCACTGCAGTGCGTCTCAACACGCCGGTATAGCGCCCTTACGCAACTGCGAGTGGGAATGCTCGGGTGGTTGCAATAAAATTTCAGTATTTGCGTCGTATTTGTCGCTTTCCTGAACGCTTCGGTTTTTTGACCACCGTAGTCTTTGCGGCCGACAAGTACATCCAGGAAGGCCAGCTGGTGGTTTTTCTTCCCCTCAATCGTAAAGTGAATGTCCGGGAAGACGGCGTTGAGATGTTCGTTGAATGTCAGCACCTGATCCCGTTCGATGACGACGGAGGTGTCATTCATATACCAAGCCCAGAATTTCGGTCTGTGGTGTCGGAAAACCAGCGACTCCAGCCGTTGTAGGACCGCCTCGTCTATGAGTCCCGAAAGCGACGAACCCAATGGCGTTTCTTTCACCTGCTTGTCGATTGTTCCGTCGAACGTAAAGGACGTCTTGAGACAGAACTTCAGGAGCTGGATGATTTGGGCGTGTCCGAGGCGATTCTCCGTTTCGTCGCACTTCTCTCGTAGGAGTAGTTCGATGGTCTCGACTGCCAGGTCCTGCGGGATAGAAGTAAAAAGGGACGTGACATCAAAGGAAACCATGACATCGCTTGGCAGGAGACTTACTCCTTTAAGTTTCTCCAAGAATTGCTTTGACGAACTGACTGTGGTGTTCGAATCGGAGGTCAGAAAGTTAAGACGTCGGAAGGCCACTTTGCCAGTCCACCGTAAATGGAATGTCCGAGAGGACGGTGAATGCGGTGAATACTGGGAATACGGGAAGCGTGAGCGGACGCACATAAAAATACCCTATATATGCCTGATTCAATTGCTGTCTCGTAAACCACGCTAGAGCGATATGTTGCAAGCAAAGGAACTGCGAGAGAACTCCTGCACATTGCAATATGCGGTGCTCATACGCTCCAGCCAAATAGAATCCCGATAGATGCATAGGTTGCTCATAGTATCCTGACACGAAATACCACAGCACAGGGTAGTTGATGGTCACTTACAAATGAGCAGCTCTCGTTTGCACTGTCCTTGTCGGTAACATCTTCCGTTTGGCTTACATCTGCCGGAAGAGAATCGAAACACTGTCTGTCGTGTGGGAGAGCAAAATTTCGATGCATTGCCACGCAGTTTGCCAACGATAAATTAGGTGATTTAAGCCTGTGAAACAAAGAACGATGACTCAGTCGAGAAGGTCCACATTTTTCCACGGAGTGGGTGTACCCGTGACTTAAGGATACTAATGTTTATAGAAGAACAGACATGCTCGGCATCAACTTCGTCCTGTCTTCGCACGTTCCCAGCGTTCCGGGGTCAGAGCAAGTCAGGACGATCGGAATTTGGCGCGGGCGCAATATCTAGCATACCTTAACCGACCGTCTACGCGTACCACACACGGCAGATCCCCAACATCACGGGTACCAGTCTTCGGTGGGAGTGTATTGACCAGAGACGACGGGCACTGCACGGGAATTCGTCATTACAGCCTGACCATGAGACCGACCCGTCGCGTCATCTGGCAGCCTTTTAAGCCACTGTCGAGGCTTAGTGAGGAGCTAAGCGCTGAATCTTGGCTGGATCGACCTGACTCTCTGATCTGGGTCAAGTCGACTAGAAGTTAAGCGTGGCGCAATGACTGGCGGAGTGTGAGCCTGAGTCAAAAACCTCCCACACGCAAGTAGCACGGTAGTTAAGGGCTCACGCTTGCAGGCGTCCGTTGCCGTCTGCGTCTGCTGTGCGCGAGACTTCATGAAAGTGAGATTTTCACGTTCCCACATATGTAATTTCACCAATCGCAACAAACCTAGCAGACTGGATCTAATGGCTGTTGCATGAGTGATGTGTGATGTTCTGCCAGCGACCGATGTATATACACTTGCTATCGAGTTTGTCACTGCACAATTCTAGTGTGTGCGTGGGTTGTACAATAGACCAAATGGTGCCGGTTTAACTGGACGTTTTCTCGTAGGTGAATCTAGCTAATTAGATCCATGTGTGAAAGGTTCTGGTTCAGACACTAGGCACTGCCTCTGTTGAGTTTGCTGCGATGGATTCGCAGGAGACCAACAGAGTCAGTGCGTGATTGGAATGTGTGACCCAATGAGGACAAGTTGGCACTTGATCAACGCTGTTGGTGGTGATTTGCAGCTTTGTGTCCCGGAAGGGTCCCGTGTGTGTGGTGTGCACGAAGATTTTTGATTAGGGTAAACGGGTACTTTGACTGGGTGTCAAAGTGATGGCAGATGGGAGGCGTGGCTTCCGCGATGATAACGCTTCTAGCTGTGGAATGTGGGCTGATGGCAATGACACTGCAGTGGATCCGAAGATCTTCAACTTAACCAATCCGTTTTACTGACGTCAGCTGACACTGTGGACATTTTGCGAAGATTGGGTGCTTACAACGTCTGTCCACGCCATCCGTGTCTGTTTTACGCGTCTCGCCCGTCGACTCGGTTATTCAGTTGGCTTCGAGGGTTACTGCTTCAGGTCTTACAGCACAGTGCGCCAAACCATCCGATCCTGCGTGAGGCCGCTTTAGGGTGCTCTAGTTTTACTCCTTGCCCACGTGTACCAATAAGCATTTCACCGTAGATTAGGTAGCGGACAGGGTTGAAGTAGAGGTTAAGTTTAGGGTTAAGTTTGGGGTCAGGGTTAGTGTTTGGGTCGGAACAGAGGGAGGAAACCTGTATTACGAGAGTGGCTTCCTATTCCCGCTGATATTTGGAGGTGGCCAATTCCGCAATCGAATTGGCTCGAAGCCCTGGCCTTGCGCTGGCCACATACATTTCTTTATGGTGGGGGGGGCCTCAACCTATTTAATCCGCATATAGAAGCCCCGAAGAGGCTATGACCACTTACTGAGGACACCAATTTGAGTTTTTTGTTAGGTAACGGATGCTTGAAACCCCCACCGGGTGCATTGAGGCCCATGGCGTGACCTGTTGCATTTACATTCCCAACTTTGCTCCCAGCGTACGCACTAGAAAACAAGCAGCAACGTCATATAGCACCATTTTCCACTCAAAGCACTGACGTCTCCAGAAGATGGAATAGCGTTCAGTAGTTTTAAAGATTAGCAGTAACTCGCATCTTGTTCGATACTTCCAAAGGCATCTGCAGAAACCCTGGACCCTCGGCTATGAAAAGACTTAAGGCTGGCAACCACCTGCCGTGAAGTTGAGTCGTCGTGTGCTCCTGGGTCGGCGGTCGAAGTTTGCTGATGGTAGTGGTGGTGGTGAAAAGGCTGTTTTCGGAGCATGATTGGAACGGAGGAAATCTGCTGCAGTTACAAATGCTTACTCCGTGACGACTACTGACACCACCCCTGGTCTCATGGTCAGTACCTACCTGGACGTTTACTGCCTTCTGTCTGTGGAATGATAGATTTATTCGAATGAGGCGGTAAATGAGTATGTGAGGGGACAAATGTTGCTGCGCGTGCACATGTGCATATCTAGACTACTTCTCTGCTTACAAAACAGTCACGCACCATCTCATCCTCGACAAAACATCTGTGTACAGCTCTCCTGAAGGAATTGGTTCTTGACTTAGAGATTGTTTTGGCCTTCGTACTCAACTTTTCCAGTCTGGCAAGCAAAAATCCTTTGACATTCTCGCTAACTAGGAATAACCTTTTCGGTAGCCTGGTGTCGCCCTGTCCTCAAATCCCTCATTCTCCTTTTGAATTGCAACCCTGTTTTGCGAAAATCTGCAAACTTGCCTATTAATTTCGCTGTTTAAGCTCCTTTTTCACATCTCAATTCCTAATCTGGAGATTTGTGGATGCCTTCACACGCCAGTCCGACCGTCGTTGCCGACGATGTCCCCTGTGCGCTTCACGGCAAGACGAGAGAAGGCACGGTGACTTGCCCGTGAATTAGTTTAAAGTGATAGTAGAATTGAACAGTATTCACCGCACTCTCTCCTCCTACCCCCCGCCTGGACCCAGTTAAGAATACCGGAGATAGGGGATGGCGCAGGTGGATGGCACGACCGAGCCTGCACCTAGACGTACCACCACACCCCCTGTTCCACACAACAGGTGAGCAGGATTTTACCAATAACATCATCATCAACAACAGTAACGAAAGCGGCGGAGATGCGAGGACCTGTGCATCCAGTGGAAGCGCAAGCGCCTCTACCGGCCGGGAACAGCTGCCAAAGAAGTGCCAGCGCGCTTCAGCCTGCGAGGGCCTTGGTTTGCTGATTTTGGCAAAGCGGACGCTTACAGACCTCAAGGCTCTGTCCTAAACATGAGAGTTCCACCGCTGTCTCCGACGATGTCTACCGTGTGCTCCACAGCAAGGTGATAACAGGGACGGTGACTTACTCGTGACTTAGTTAATAGTGGTGGTAGACTTGCGCAGCATCTACCGTACTCTGTCTTCCCCGATCCTCAACCTGGGCCCGGAGTCAGGACTGAGTCAAGAAGACCGGAGGTAGGAGAGGACGCAGGTGGATGGTACGGCCGGACCCGCACCTAGGCGTGCCAACACTCCCCCTGGTTCACAACACACACCTGTCCAGGATTTTAACCCACAACGACACAAGAATAAAGGCTCTCACGGCCGAAGCCGCACCTAGGCGTGCCAACACACCCGGCGCGTACCCCAGGGAGTGGGAGTGCCATAAAGGCCATATTAAGAAGGAGGCCTACACATACACACACTCTCCTTCCATATTGGTTCCCGATTACTGTTCCTGTCTTGCTTAAAAAAGATGTACTCATCTTAAAATGTGCCCTCCAAGTGCTCTCTTCTGCTGCCTGTGTTTCTCATATATTTTTGACTGATATCTTAATACAAACATATTCCACAATTAGTAAAAAATTTACTGGTCGAATTCTGAATGATGCCCTCCATTCCCTTCATCCTGAATTAATGACAGAGAACTTTTTCCGTCTCCCGCGCCGTGCTTTTCGGCATATCTCTCGCGCAAATCGGCATGTCAGTGCTCATGTTTAGCCATCTTTGGCACGATACCTAACATGCAAAGGGACTGCAATACAGATGTCGAGACTCGAAATGTGCAAACCCATTAACTCTTTCAGCATCTATTGCGCCGTATTCTGGTCACGAGAATAGGAGGATATTTTGGCTGGAAATATCAGAAAGATACTTTTAAAATAAAACTTAGTCCCCGCGCCTCCTCTCTCTCTTTCTGATTTCTGTCGAACTACTGTGGGACTAGACTCCCAACCGTCGTTTGCTACTTTGGAAAGTTTGCAGAAATATTTCACCAGCACGGATTTGAAGCACGCATGCACAGCAGAATTTACTTAAAACAACAAATTTGGCGACGGCTTATCACTTTTACGTGATAAGCCGTTGCGACATTTGTTGGTTTCAATGATTTCTGCTGCGAATGCTTGTTTCAAACTTCGACAGCAGTATGTTATGGCATAATCCTTCCTGGGTGCGATTTGTCAAACTCTCGCTAACTGTCAGATATAAAAAGCGACTTTCTATCGGTGGACTACTTTAAATGAGGTTTATTTTACTTTTTCAGCAGAAAACAATCGAAGTGACGTAACTTTTCCAAAAGCGATGCAAAAGGGGTTTTTGATTAGAAAACCCGACTCGTCCAGTGAAAACCGACTGGAAATATTAGCTAAAAGTTCATGTTCTATTGCAAATACAGAACGAAATCATAAATCATAAATCCCATAGCCCGAAGGACATGCAGTGCGTGACCGATTTGATGAAATTTTGGCCGAAATTCTGAAATGCGTTTTCGATTAGGAAGGATTACTTAGGTGGGGTTTTCATGCTGATTACCAAACGACATACTCCTATAAAATTTCGGACTCGCTAGAATGTCGGCTTTTGAATGCACTTTGGTTCGACCTCCCATAGAAGCTACATTCGGCAAAAAATGACTACTTATGTGGTATGTATTTTCACATTGATTTTCGATGGTCTTATAAATTCAAATATTTTGTTATAGAAAAGACACATAAAATATGCTTTGTTTTAATTGTTTGGTAGAAAATAACATTGTCTTTATATTTTATACCCGAAGAAAGCGTATATTAAGGTCCTTAAAAAGTTCCCCAATTCCCCAATAATTTTGGGCCAGATCAGTTGTTGCATTACCCTTTAGTGATTTCACTTTACAAGGTGCATGCTTTCCGCACAATAAAAATAATATATTCCTCTATGCCTTTAAGAAGATAACATGTTGAGTTCATAAAATTTTGCAGTGGCTGTGGACTATGTTGTACGTTTCACGAGGAGGACTGGCAAACGGTGATGTGCGACGTTGTATGTATGGACATCGTACGATCTTGAAAACCGCATAATTAGAAACTTTTTAAAAACCCAAATCTACGCCTTCGTCGGGTATACAATGTAAAGGCAATGTTATTTTCTACCAAACAAGTAAAAGAAAGCATATTTTATGCGTCTTTTCTATAAAAAATATTTGAATTTGTAAGACCATCGAAAATCAATGGGAAAAATACATGCTACATACAGTGAGTGACCTATCTCATGAAATGTTGGCTGACATTCTTAAATGCGTTTTCGATTAGGAAGGATTACTTGGTCGCGGTTGTAATACTGACTATCTTGCAGCATAATCTCATAACATTTCGGACTCGGCAGGATGTCGGCTTTTAAATGCACTTCCTTTCCATCTCTTGTAGAAAGCGTACTTAGTAAACAATGTCTACTCAAGTAGCATGCATTTTTACCATTGATTTTCGATGGTCTTGCAAATTCAAGTATATTTTATAGAAACCGTAAATACAAATATGCTGTCTTTCAGTCAATCAATAGAGAATCACGTCTTCTTTATATTTTTTACTTAAGAAAGGAGTACAATTAGGTTTAAAAAAGGTTTTCCAATTGCCGAATAATTTGGAGCCTGATCATTCATTGCATTAGCGCTGAGTAATTTCAGTCTGCAAGGTGCATGCGTTCCGCATAAAGAAAATCACATATATTTCTATGCCATTAAAGAGATATCATACAGAGTCCATAAAATTTTGCAATGGATGCGGACCATGTTGTGCATTTCATGAGGAGCAGTGGTAAGCGGCCAGGTACGATGCTATGTGAATTGACATTTCGCGGTCTTAAAAAGTCTCATAATTAGAAACTTTTTAAAACCTAATTATACTCCTTCCTTAAGTATAAAATATAAAGAAGACGTGATTCTCTATTGATTGACTGAAAGACAGCATATTTTTGTTTGTGGTTTCTATAAAATATATTTGAATTTCCAAGACCATCGAAAATCAATCGGAAAAATGCATGCTACTTGAGTAGACATTGTTTACTAAGTACGCTTTCTACAAGAGATGGAAAGGAAGTGCATTTAAAAGCCGACATTCTGCCGAGTCCGAAATGTTATGAGATTATGCTGCAAGATAGTCAGTATTACAACCGCGACCAAGTAATCCTTCCTAATCGAAAACGCATTTAAGAATGTCAGCCAACATTTCATGAGATAGGTCACTCACTGTAGGTAGTCAATTTTTGCCGAGTGTAGCTTTTATAGAGCATTACAACCCAACCTAAGTAATCCTGCCTAAATGAATAAGCATTTCAGGATTTCGGCCAAAATTTCATCTGATCGGTCACGCACTGTATATTTAATGGGAGTTATACATCAACTATTCTAACAGAAATGGAATTTCTGTGAGTGAGAGCAAAACATAGACCTGCAGCTGCTTAAGATATGAGTGTGCTTCGGGCACCTCAGCCATCAGTCCAAGTCTCGATTAGTGGGATAAGATTTATGGTGTATAGCGTTGCTGTCTCCGATGAAATTGGACGCAGGCGAGGCTGTTGGATGCTATCAGGGTATCCTATAGGATTGTGCGTCAAACGCATATTTACTCAAGTAGGGAACAGTGCTAGTGAGAATTCTGGTCAGATTGAACCATACAAGTCGTCCTCGTATTTGTCGATAAGATTTATTAATTCCAAATAATCCATCCGGGTCCTAGACCCGGACTTCCATGAAAAAACCGAAAGCCCGCTTTTCGTACGAGTGGGTAGAAGAACGCGACCTCAGGTGGTTGATCAAGTAGTCACGGTGACTCGATACTCACCTGTCCTTCTGTCCACAAGCGTCATGGAAGTTGCAGGCGCCTAATATACTACTGACAGGCAACGCCGACTAACTGGTAAACATTTGACTTTTTCACGGTGCGCTTAAAGCCGTGACTTGCAAGGTTCAGTTTAGTTCAGTTTATTGAAGGAAATAAGTGTAGGCCTTTGAGTGCCCCATTTGCAGCGTAAGGTTGTGTGCGGTGTATAGAGAAATAAGCTTGACTGAAATAATTCAAACAGGGAGATAACGGTGGGAAAAAGTGAGAGTGAGTCTCAGGGGATGAGTTCGAACTCTCATCGTTTTTGTTCATTTCGGAACATGAATGTCAAGGTTCTTTTTAAAGTTTTGTACCGATGATGACATCACAACAGCCGCGGGGAGGGGGGCGTTCCATGATTTGTCCACTCGGACAGAGAGGGCGAACTACTGCACATCCAGCCTTGCCCGCTGAACGCGCAGTTTTAACGGGTGACCTCGGAGGTTGGTCGTGGTAGCGAATTCCAAAAGCCCCCAAAGACCAGGCTGCTCTCCAATCCCTTCACAATGCGGAATGCTTGCAAGAGGCCCTCAATTTGGGTTATGCAGCCAGCTCAGTTGCGTGCTTAGTGGCCGATTGGTGGCCTAGGAGTCAGACTGTGATGGCTCTTTCTTACTTGCATTCTGTTGCATATTTGAGATCCGAGCCGCTTCTCCTTGCATGTGTAACCCTGGCATATGCGTCTGAATGAGGCGCTCAGACGGGCCCTCTGGCTTTGTGGACCACTGCTCCCACCTGATAGTTCAATCGTCGCATCCAATGATGTCCGCTGTGCGCTCCACGGCGAGGTGAGGCAGGCAGGGGGACTTGTGTCTGAATTGATCTATGGTGACAGTGGACTTGCGCAGCATCTACCACACTCTCTCCTCGTACTCCCTGCACCTGATGCCGGTGTCAAGAGAGAGTCAAGACGACCAGAGGCGGGCGGGGGGAGGCGCAGGTGGATGGCACGGTCGAGTCCGCACCCTGGCGCTCCACTCCGAACTCCCTGGTCCACACACCAAATGACCAGGATTTTGACCAACAGCACAACAGCGGGTCAGAAGGACGAGGATGATGACTGGGCAGCCATTCTCACGACCAGTATACCCATCGGAAGAGCGAACGAGCTAATGAAAGGGGTTCTGATCTCCCTAATGAGTAGCCAATTCGTATGTTAAAGTTCCGGATACCTTGTCCTCTAGCCAATCATGACGCCCATCACATTCGGTGCTTATGAGTTGCTATTGGTTAGGACTACTTGTTTAAGTATATTAATGACGAATACGGCTTATTTAACTGACAGGGCTAGAGCAGGCACAGTGACTTGCGCGTGAATTGGTTTATGGTGAGAGTAGACTTGCGCAGCGTCTACCGCATTCCCTCCTCCTCACCTGGGCCCTGTGTCAAGGCATAGTCAAGATGACCGGGAGTAGGAGAGGGCGTAAGTGGCTGGCACGGACCACTAAACCCCCCTGATTTGCAACAAGCAACTCAGCAACGAGTCAGAAAGAGGAGGATGGCTGGGCAAACATGGACATGACCTGTGCACCCAGCGGGAACGCAAATGCATCTGCCGGCAGGGAACCAGGTGTCGGAGAACTGCCAGCGCACACTATGCTGCGAGGGCCATGAGTTGCTGACCATGACATAGCAGACGCTCACAAATCCTTGAGGCCCAGAAGGGTGACACACAGCCCTGCATTAGCCTGGGCCACCATCATTCTGAGGCAGAGTAACCATTTAGTCAGCGACTGAAATGCACCATCTCTTAAGTGGCATGCACTCCTCACATGCGTACGAGTGCCTGGTCCACCCACCGGCTCGAACAGTGGACTAGTGCCAGGGAGTGGGAAGAGAGAGCAAGAATGAGGTCGACAGCCTCAGCGTATATTTCTCACTGGAAACAATCTGACACGTTTGGCCCTACCACTGTGCGCCAAAAACCGTGGCTGGGAAGCCCACCAACTGAAGGGATAACTCGAAGCTCGCAGTCAGTGCAGGGTGTGTTTGTGTGGAGTGACCGACTGGTGAGTTAAAAGTCAAGCTGCAATGGCTTCTAGTTAGTGTGGCCTCTGTGGAACTCCGACCCAGTGGGATCAGAGTCGCCCCATTTTTTCTTGTTGCGTAAAACCCTGATTAGTGTTTGTGGCAAGATGTCATTTGGTAGCCCCACCCGATGGACACAATACGGTTGGGGTTGGGGTTAAGGATTATGGTTAGGGGGTTAGAGTTAAGGACTAGGGTTTGGGGTTGGGGTTTAGGATTCGGGGTTAAAGTTATGGGCTAGGGTTACAGTTACGGGTCAGCGCAGATATTTCTCAATTAGTGAAAGTGCAATCGCGCACTCCCAATAGCTTTTTTGCATACAACTACCTGACCTCATCGCCTATAAGTTCTCCGGCTCTATCTGTAAAAACCCTTTATTACCACCGGTCGCGTATTAGACGTGACTGAGGTTTTTTTACTTTATGTGGGGCTACCAAACCACATCCGACGGTGTTTGTTGTGGACCAGAGGGTGTATTGGCACGCCTAGGGGCGGTTTTTCACCGTGGCAGCCACCTGCGCCCTCTCCCGCCTTCAGTCTTCTTGACTCTGCCATGACACCTGAGAGAGGAGGAGAGAGTGTGATGGATGTCGCGCAAGTCCGCCTTCACTATAAACAAAGCTTTGCGCAAGCCACCATCCCTACTCTCAATCTACTGCGGAGCAAACGGTGGACATCGTCGGAAACTACGGTAGAACAGTCGCTCACCTGAGCAGTTACGTTTTGAAACGGTCCGTGCCCCAGTAGACTGGAGATGGTGTGCTCAAGTTGAGTATGGACGCCCGGACAGACTAGCTGCTGCAGGTCAGTGCGTCTGGGAGAAGGTGAAGTTGTTTTGTAGTTGGAGACCTCCATATGAAATTAGGCGACATTGAGTTATTTGAAACCCGAAGAAATTAAGGTGCCTGCCAGTGCAGTGATGGAGGTTAAACCACAGGACTGTTTCCAGTACGTTATTGGTCTAGCAGCAGATCAAAGGACAGCGCCTCCTGACAGATGCGCCGCATTGCTTCCAGCTCGTCATCGCCTTCACTCCTGGTACCTCAGTTTATCGCGTCCCGTTGTTGAGGATCTCGTTCCCTCTGATGGAAGTAACTTGATGCACAGTGATTGGCCGAGACCGGCCCGCTTATGTCTTCTTGTCACTGGCTCCTCAGGGCGGCTGTCCACACCCACTTTGACTGTGACGTCATCCTGAAACACCTAATTTCACTAAAAGAAGACAAAGGCACGATCACTGGGACAGTAGATTTATTGGCTTTAACTTTCGAACTCGAACTGGAGTTTATCATCAGAGACTGCAAGAGTGCAGCAACGTGTGAACATTTATATCGTTGTTCCGTGCGGGAGGGGGGACTACGACCGTAGCTAGGTCTGGTTTGTGCCGCCTGTTCCACTATGGTCCCCCGGCGTGGTGACGACGTTTGCACTTCGCGGCGATGTGAGCTGCGACACCTGGCTGCGTAGGCGGAGTGCGTGATAACATGCAAGCAAATCAATGTGTCTTTTGATAGAGTTGGTGTCCGACACCCATGCCTCCAACAGTTCTCGCCCCGTCTTGTTGCCGGCTCGTGCCAATATCCGCTTGTTGGTAAAGTCGAACTCATGGCCTTCCTCTAGCGTGTGAGTGGCGACTTGAGATAGTGGGTCGCCTCTTCGGACGGTCCTTTTGTGCTCAAGTATTCGCGAGCTAAGACGCCGTCCTGTCTGGCCTGTGTAGTGGCAAGGACAGTTATGGCACGGGATTTTATAGACTTCTCACCGACTACTCACCTACGTCCAGCCGATCCTTCATTTCCATGATCCTGCTACACATGGTAGCCGCTGGATGATGAGCGATGCCCACGCCTAACGCTGACGTAATGCGGTCTGTAGCCTCGGACACGTTCTTTATGTACGGTAGGCGGTGGCAAATTGTTGGTGCCTTTCTTCCGTTTGTCCGCCGTGGTTGCGTGCGTATGCAGCGGCTGATGAAACCATTTGGGTAGCCGTTCACTGGCCTCTTTGGCATCCCTTCCCTAATACGTTTGCGAAAGAAGCAAACACCAAATGGACATTGCCCAGCTCACAACATACAACCCATCTGACTTCGTGCTATGCGAGTGCCAGAATTTTTCTTGATCGGGCGAGGCACTGAGAGGACGCAGCTTGTTCCTCTCAATTGACCAAAACTGAAACGGTTGGTGCGGGTGAAAGGCCGAGACAATCGTAAAATTGTTAAAGCCTCTTTCATGTGCATGCAACTGGATATTAAATTATTATAATAAAATGAATAGATGAGATAGATGTGGACTCCACAGACGGACAGTTGGATGATTACCTTGGAAGGTGAGGGGACAAGATTCGATACCTGGCCGAATTCTCGACCTTGGCCTAACGTCTCCCCCCTCGTGTTCTGGAGGGTAATAAGGTGTATATTTTTTCGGAATAAAGTTTTTAGAATCAGCCTCACACTCCAAGACTACTTCAGACTATGGGGATGCACTCCTAGTTGAGAAACTGAGACACGTCCATCTTGAACAAGGCAAAGGCGACGAAACCTGCAGAATTTATTGACGTCAGTAAATTTCATAGACAGGATCTCATCGGACGTCCGCCAGCGTAGTGTAACTTAGTACTTCTAAATCCTGTCTTGTTTTTTTTTCTTCCTCCTCTTTTTAAGGAGTGAGCTGCCATCAAGAACTTGTTCAAAGGTTGTGTCCCAAATATTGCTTTTTATAAAAGGTGGAACAGTCCATAACGCAGCCCAAAACGCAGGAGGCAGATGAGTAGATGTGGACCCGATTTTTCTAACTGCCTACACGTTTTAACTAACATTGTAACGAAATACGCGTACAGATCAGGTGAGAATTCGCCGTAAACAAACGTATGTTTTCCAACAAGTCTTCATAATTACATTTGATAACGCTTCATGTCCACTGTCGAACATGTGCAGGGAAGAATTAGATAGTAGCTACACGCCCACTCGCAGTAGCCGCCTACGCACTCATTGTAGCTGTTCACGACTAGTAATAACAAAGTCTAGAGTGGAATCGAGACGTCAAGATAATAGGATTCATGCCACAATAATCTAGCCTCCTCCTCCCCCTCCTCATCCCCCTCTATATCCTGCTTTCCTCTTCCACTCCTCAGTTTTTTATTGCAGGAGATCAGTTGATGAGCCTACGCTTGCCTTCGATAAATTCTTTTCGGAAACGGTGCACGAGTAAACGTGTGTTTGATAAGAGAAATAGTTTTAAGTGGGGCGGGAGAATAGGTGAGGCAAAAAGAAACAGCAAATTACGAGGCAGTGAGGGCTAGGCAGTGTCGTGAGAAGGGGGGAAGGGATGGAGATGGGAAGAAGTGCATGCAGTTAACCGATCTTTGGCCATGGTAGACGGGGAGCTAGCATCTGGTTCTTCTGCACCCTCAATACCGACATCTGAGGCCAAATAGCAGCCGCTTCTGCTGTTGCTACGACCCGGTGGCGCAGGGTAGTTCGGTAGGATCTTATAAATCAACAGGACAGACTTTATTGGGATTCACACAATGCCCAAAACCAACGATATCGGCAAGAATAACTTTGTTTATGCATTCGATCTAGTTTTTCTCAACAATGCCGAAAGGTGCTCCGGTATTCTTCTGGATAGGCGTCGACTCGTGCAACCAATATGACCTGTCCCATAAAAGCCAGCATCTTACGACCGTTTCTTTCTTTAAAATGACATCTGCAGGAGTGACTATGCATAGTAGCTTCTCAAATTTGTCCAAATTTTCACTTGCGCCCCTATTTGCATAAACAGACAATCTCTACGGGCTACTCTGGCATTTTTTCTTGCGTGGGACAAAAGCTCGTTAATTTATCATTTCGGACAGGGTTTTGGCCGGTAACGTCCCAGAGGTTGCGTGGGAGAAGTAGCGAGAGAGTCGGTCCTTATGGAGCCGCGAGGTTTTGCCGTAAACAAACAAAAACACTACTGACTTTTTTGCTTGAAAAACTGGCCTAAGCATTGTTAACTTTTAAATTTCAAGCCTGTTCACTCTGCCCAAACTGCCTGTCCGAATAGAGAACATACAGAAGGCATGCTAACTCATGAAATGGTAACCGAAATTCTGAAATGCCTTTTCGTTGCGAAAAGATTGCTTAAATAGGGTTTGGAAATTAATCATCATGCAGCATAATTCTATAAAACTTCAGTTACCACGGGATGTTGGCTTTTGAAGGAACATCTTTGGGGCCGCATGCGAAAATAAGACTCTGTGAAAATGACTACTTAAGTAGCATGCAATTTTTCCATAATTTTTAATGCCCTTAAAAATCAATTATCTTTCATGGTAAACATGCGTAACAATACCCATTGTTTAACTCATTCGGTAGAAAATTACGTCTTCTCCCGACTTTATACCAGAAGGAAGGGTGTAATTCGGTTTTCAAAAACTCTTCCAATTCCCGAATAATTTTGAACCCGATTTACCGTTACACTTGCATCCGGGGTTTACAAACTACAAGCCATATATTATCGGCGTGCAGAAACCATACATTTCCCTACAGTATTAAGAGGAGATTATATGATGTTCATAAAATTTAGCAGTGGATTTAAGCCATATTGTAAACTTTACAAGCAAAACTAATAAATGCAGAGACACGACGTTTTATGAACGGCAATTTACGGTATTAAAAAATCCCATAAGTAGACACTTTTTAAAACCAAATTATACCCTACCTTCAAGTAAAGTATTTGAAGAACACGTAATTTTCTACCCAAGGAGTGAAAGCATTAAGGTGTTTATGTATGTTTTCTGTGAAAGAATTGCTGGGCGGGAAGTAATCGTGACGCGTATTGGCTTAGTTAAGCGAAAAAGACGAAAATAATTTAAGGTGATCCCACAGTTCCCGCCTTCTGCGATCCTTTCTGGGTTGCTCGTTCCTCCCCCACACCTTTGTGAGATCAACATGCTTACTCAATTTTGTACTGTGCGGCAGTATAGCGCCCGTAATGGTTTGACTACAACACTTCAAATTCTTTTTTAAATAATGATCTGATTGGTGCTATCAACAGGCATCATGCTCGGATTCAGTCATCGTCTCCCATTTAGTTGGAACGTGCAATTTTATTTACAACCGGCTGACTACCGCTCAACAATTGCATACAACGTAATAGAGAGCTTTTATTTACAAAAATCGACTTTTTATTGACGCCTCTCTGTTCTCTGACAGGTGTACCTTCAAACCGAAAATTTGAGCTTATAATTTCCTGACTTCCTCGGTTAATAAATTAAGAGTACGGAAAGGTTTAATGACCCGTCAAACGTCCACAGGGTTTCTTTGTGAAACAACTTGTTTTCACGACTGAAGACGCATATGCGAATTCCTGGTTCTTGTTGTAAGGATGAAAGCGCAATCATTGGAATAGTAGGTTTATTAGTCTGAGCTTTCAAACTAGTGCAGGTCTCCATCATCAGAGGTTGTGAAAGTGCCAAAACAAGTGAACAGTTTTGTAGTCGAACTTCTTTCAGGGTGATAACATCCCAGCCAAATGCGGACGTCTTTAATTAGCGTGCTGAATGTCTTCACTGTAGGTCTAACTATAACTTTACGAAGTACTAAGACACTAACCGTTTCCTATGTAAACCACTTCCAGCAAGGAGAGAATTACTTGTCGGGCTTACTGCCAGACAAAGACGAACCATGCAGACGGGGTACTATGCAGTTAAGGATCACAGTCCAGCTAATTTCGAAAAAACCAGACGGATGTACTTTTTCAATCAGACGCCTCTAATGATTGCCGTCTGGCGTTCGGCTTGGAAGCTACCGTCGGGTGTTTTTTAGTGTTGGAGGTAGCATAGGCCACATTCTTTCTGGTACGACCTCAGAG